ATCACCAGGGAACAGTCACTCAGCCATGCAACACACTCACTTGCACACACCACTCACCTGCATACACCGCGCCTACGCCACTCACCTGCACACACCACCGCGCCTGCACTGAACACATACCTGCACTCACCACTCACCTGCACACACCACCGCGCCTACATTGAACACATACCTGCACTCACCACTCACCTGCACACACCACCGCGCCTACATTGAACACATACCTGCACTCACCACTCACCTGCACACACCACTGTGCCTACACCCAGCACTCACCTGCACACATGCCTACACACCCAACACATCTGCACACACCGTGCCTACACCCAGCACTCACCTGTGCATACCGCCACACCCACACCTAACACCTACAAACACCCAGATGGCTACCCATGCCATGTCTACACTCAATACCTGCACACGTACAGCAACCCATATTGCCACGTCTATACCCAATACACCTGCACGCCCCCACGCAGCTACCCACACGTCTACAGACAACACACCTACACACCACACACCCACCCTCACCATGTCTACAGCCAACACACATACTTGCACGTACCCCAACACAACTACCCACACCAGACACCCCATACCTGCACACACTCCCCCCTCTACACCTACAACACACCTGCACACATCTACACACACCCACACCACCACATGGACACCCAGCACCTGCACACACACCCCCCACAGCTACCCACACCATATCGACACCCAACTCACCTGCACACAACCCCCCACACCATCACGTCTACACTCACCCACCCCTGCACCCACAAGTCTACACCCAACACTCACCTGCACACACCCACACTACAGCACATACACCCACACAGCTACCCACACCACTACAGCACATACACCCACACAGCTACCCACACTACCATGTCTACACCCAACAGCCCTGCACACACACCCATACCATGTCTACACCCAACACTCATACCCTATACATATACCCACACAGCTACCCCCACCATGGCTACACTTGCACGCACACCCACACAGCTACCCATGCCACGTCTACACACAACACACACATTCACACCCCACCCCCAAGACACACCAAGACGCACCCGTCCACAGCCAGCAGCAGGAACCAGATGAAGTTGAGCAGCGGCTCCACAAACGGAGGCCCGTCCTCGATGGACGGGTGCTTCTGGGTGTATGTCGTGAAGACCACCGACGCGCTACTTTTGTTTTTTAAACAGAGAAACCTGGAAATGAGAACATGCTGGTGGTGGAAGGGCTGGAGAACATGGCTTCTGGCCGCACAGGCGCCAGCCTCTGACACATCCTTCCCAAGCTCGTGCGCCCATGGGTCCCGCGGCCCCCGGCACGGAGGAACCCAGTGCTTCACGCGTGTCTCCCCTCACGTGCAGGGCATACCGGGGAAGCCTGAAATTCACAGGTGAAGAGAACGAAGCTTGGGAAGGTCACCAGGCTCTGGAGCTGGGCCCCAGCCTGAGACTCAACTATGCGATGCACTGAGCAAGCTCTCCTCTCCTCAGGCTGCCTGCACCAGAACACTCAGTCATGGCACAGCAGCTGGCGGGTGCCACACAGACCCTGGCTCCTGTTCGGGGAGGGCTCAGTGTCCCAGGGGCAGAGCCACTGTCAGCCCAGAGAAAACGTGTACGCAGTGCGGCGCAGAGCCAGGGAGCTCCAGGTTTGACCCAGCTTTTCATCTAAGTCACGGATACCAGCTCCTGGCAGAGCTCTGCAGTGCGCACCACCGAGGTCAGAGGGTGTCTGTCCCCAGATCCCACGTTAACTCCCCAATGCCCGCCTTGAAATCCACATTGTTCTGTGGGAAGAAACTGATGGACACAAATAATGCTTTCATGAGAAAGGAAGCGGAGGCCAGCGCCTGGAGCAGGAGCGCCTGGAGCTCAGCCTGCAGGATGCCCCAGCTAGCTGGCGGGAGGGGCCGCGGGGTAGATGCTCACCATTCTATGACCTGGGTGTGCATTTCCGCTTTTCCAGATACTGCGGGAAGGCAGAGGCCGAGGCAGGCCTGAGGAGAGCAGAGGCCGCGGGGCCTCCCGGCAGCGGGCAAGAGGCGCAGTGTGGAGGGCGCTCCAGTGCCCGTCGGGAAAGGGGGAGTTTCTAAGATACTTCTTGAAACTGGTTAAACTTATGAATAATCATGGGTGACTCTGGCTGACAAGTGCGCTGTGGATTCTGCCCAGAGTGAACTCAGTTTATCCTGCAGCATGGCTCGGGCAGGGGACAAGGGGACCTGCTCTAAGGCCGCCCGGCCAAGGCAGCGATGGAAGCCAAGACCCAAAGAGCCACAAACACCTACTGTAGCACGGCCTGGGCCACGAACATGTCCACCTCGCTGCGGAAGCCGCGGGACGTGGAGTATTCCACCAGCATGTTGGCACAGCCCTCCCCATCCGCCGAGTGCAGAAAATGATACCGCGACTCACAATAGTTTTGTTCTGCAAAGGAAACACAGAAAAATTTGAATGCATTTCATGAATATAATATAGAACAGGAAAAGTGGAAAGATACTCTATGTTAATTGTAGTCCACCTGCCTGCCCTGGAGAAGAGCCCAGCCAGAGCCCACAGGCAGAGGTACCCGATAGGGACTCAGAGCCGGCCCAAACCTCACACACAGCACCAAATAAACAGATCACCAGGGAACAGTCACTCAGCCATGCAACACCTTCATCCTCCAAGCTCTCAGAGCTGCTTAATCCAATCACATTAACGTGCGTTGTAATGATCAGTTACAGAGTGTTAACATGTGACCCTCCCCACCTACCAGAAGCAACTTATAGGGAGCAATGTAATCAGGGCCTAGGCCAGTGCATCTAGCATATAATCAACAGTCAAAACCAGCCTGATGTGCTCACCACACTGACCC